AAAAATAATTCTTTTGTTGACTGAGGGAGCCTAGGTATTACAAGGTCATATTTGGAAGAAATACCTCTTTCTTTAGCCCCTGAACTTCATCACACAAATAACCTTCCTCAGACCTAGCTATTCCTGGCCTTCAGACTTGAACCGTCTGCTCTCTAAAGGAAGAAATGCAGCTTCAAGAGACTTAATCAGATTGGAAGGGATGCAGAATTAGAGGGAGGAAATATATTTTTCCTCTAGAAGGTGTCAGTGTTTGGCTTAGAGAGATGCAGACCTAAAGAGTGTGTTTGTGGCAGAGGGAATTCTTTATTCTGTGGGTTGGTGGAACTAGTCCTTTTGCCTTTATTCCAGCTCCCTCTGGTACCTTCTCACATTCCCCTCAGATAAGCTCTCTGGGAGGAAAGAAAGAATCAAAAATTATTAAGTACCGGCCTTTGTAGGCAGTCATCATTAGGCATTGTCACATAATCATGTCACTTAACATGCAAAGTGACTTTCTGAGGGGAGTGATAATCATTTTCACTTTGTAACTGAAGACTGTGGCTCAGAGAAGTTAAATAACTTCCTAAGGTCCAAAAATGAGTGTAGGGCCTCCCTGGTGACCTCCCTGGTGGTAAACTATGCAGCCACTGCAGCATGAGTTTGATCCCCCAGCCAAGGAGGTAACCCACACAGTGTGGCAGACCTTACCTGTCTGACCCAGTGGTGCCCTCAGCAGTATATTTCAGTCAACCTGCCTGTTCTGCTTTTCACTCTCTCTCTGGTGAATCCTCTCACCACCACCTTCCCCTTCCTCTGGCCTACACCCCACACCTCTAGCCTACACCCCAGTTTTGTATGCATAAATAAGTAAATCTTTTTTAAAAAATGAGTATAGTTGAAATCAAGGCCTTTGATGAAAGATACAGCTATGCTCCTTAAGTTGAAAGTTCTTTCCATTACCAAATACCATCATTCAGGAAAGGTCACTGGTTCACTTTTGAAGAGAGGATTATAGTGGATTTGTTTTCAGGAAGGAGAGACTGAGAAGAGTTAACCTACTGTTAACAAAGGGGAGAAAGAATAAAACCAAAGTGTGCTGCTATAGAAAGGGGTGTCAGGGAATGAGGCCAAATGATCCGCTTGTTGGAGGTAACACTTATCTCTATCTGACTAAGGGACCAATCCCTCAGAGGTGGGAAGGTGTGGAGGAGCCAAACCTGGAACAGCTGTTAATACGATTGGAAGAGGAGCAGCAGAGGTGATGGACCGTAAATTCACTGGCCTGGGTGATAGATCCGTGGGTGGAGGAGGCTGATGGGGACCTCTGTCCTGGGGACTCACATGGATTAGAACCATGGACTTCAGTCCTAGAGTCCAGTTCCCAACAATGGAAAATTCCAGTGGTTGTCATTCTCCTCCGTGATGTCCAAATACTGGACCAGACCTTGATTTTGTACCTGCTCCTACCCATTCTCAGTGCAGGTGTGAAAGTCTAGCAGAGATGAACACCCAGCTCCGGCTACATGTGGAAAACGCTGGTGTAGTGAATAAAGCCCTGCGGGAAGATGTGGAAAAATTAACAGTGGACTGGAGTCGGGCCCGGGATGAGCTAATGAGGAAGGAGAGCCAGTGGCAGATGGAGCAGGAGGTAGGAGGGACAGGGCCCGGACTACCAGAGAAGGCAGTGCTCTCTGGGCGCTGGGCTGAGCAGTGGTGGATGGAGTTAATTTCAAGGCTTGGGTAGAAACAGAGTTGTCTTTGTTAAAGTCTCTGACCCTCCTTACTTGCTCATTCTGGTAGCATTGCCCTGCTAGAACCTTAAGGTTAGTTCTGCCCTTACCTGCTTAGTCGTGGTTTTGCTGGCAGGTGCATGACACATAAAACAACTCTGTTCCTGCCTAAGTGGTTAGCTTAGGTGTTACTTGATGCTGGTAACTCATCTGGAGAGCTGCATATCTAGATGTAAAAGAGGCAGCTATTGAAATTGAATGAGGAAGACAGACCAGCTATGGATCCTGGGGAACTTTCAGATCCCAGAGGAAACTAATGTTTCCTGGGCCCTCACTCTGTGTCAGGTATTATTCTACATAATTTACATATGTTATGTCATTTAATCCTCATTGTAAATCTGTAGTAATAATGGTAATAGCTTGAACAGCTATTTGTCTTGTTCTATCTAGCTCAGAGGAAGCCCTTCCTTATTCCATACCAGACCTTTGACCTCTTGAATCCCACTGCTCACTTTATGAAACTCTTCAGCATAATCTGAACATAGACAACTGTTTCTAAACTATCTCCTGGAAGTCCCTCCCTCTCACCCCCAAGTAGACAAGAGAATTCCTAGACTTCTGTCTTGGTAAAAGGTAATCCCCTGCCCTTGGTATGACCTGGGTTTCTAAACACACAGTTCTTCAAGGGCTACCTGAAAGGGGAGCATGGTCGCCTTCTCAGTCTATGGAGGGAGGTAGTAACCTTCCGACGGCACTTCCTGGAAATGAAATCAGCCACTGACAGGTTAGTGTGGGGAGAAGAAGGGAGGAGGCTTATCCCTACCACTCTGGACTTATGACAGTGGGCTGCTGGAGAAGAGGGGATCAGGAAAAGGGAGTCAGTTTGGGGATACTCGGGATGAGGTAGAAGAGGTGGTGGGGAGGAATGGCATAGGATTGGAGTCAGATGATTTCTCCCAGACCTGCTCCTCAGGCTTCACTGCACTGATCTCCATTCTCCCATCCCTGGTCCCTACTGGAGTTTGCTCTTTCTTTGCTTGTACGCAGAGATCTGTCGGAGCTAAAGGCTGAGCATGTGAAGCTTTCAGGGTCTCTGTTAACCTGTTGTCTGCGCTTGACTGTGGGAGCACAGTCTCGGGATTCTGATGGATCCTGGAGACTGGATAGAAGTGAGCCAGCCCAGCTGCAGCTGCTAGTAGCCAAGACCCAGAAGCTGGAGCAGGAAGCCCATGAGAGGAGCCAGGAGTTACTACAGCTGAAGAGTAAAGGGGAATTGGAGAAGGCTGAACTTCAGGATCGGTGAGATGGACTGGGTTCCATGGAAGGGCTCACTGAGGAAAGTTTGATTCCTTTAGAAACTTAGAAATTGGGGGTAAGAAGGTGTGAAGAGCCTTCCCATCAGGAGAGGGAAGGAGAAGTGCCAGATCCTTTTGATTTCTGGTTTGAAACCCACATCCGCAGTTGGGGCATGTCACTGCTCGACCCTCAGACTGTCCTGCATTTCAGTTTTTCTCCTCAGTTTTTTCTCCCTCTGTCTGTGTTATCCTTTAAGACATAGTTTGAACGTCACCTCTTTTGAAGCTTTCTTTGATCTCAACGGCCTTTGAAGTTACTATGTCCCAGTAGCCTTTTAACCTGCCTGTTAGTATTGATTGCATTGATTTAGTTCCCTTTTTTCCTAGTTATAATCTTATTTTATGGATTATACTAAAATAGATTTTTTTAAATCATGATATGAAGGGCAGGGACATAATGTTTTTTGAATCAGAGGGGAAAGCGCAGGTTATATTGTACTTGTTAACCGGGGTTGTGTCACCACCTATTGGTGATGTGTGCAAATTACAGTTTGTTTTTTGGTTGTGGAGGCGCTGGGGAGCTTGGGACAAAGACCATGTCTTACTAAGTTTTTTGTCTCTAGTACTTTGCACTTACCTGCCATATAGTAGACACTCAATGAATGTTGAATGATACAATAATTAAGTGAATTACTTTATAGTGAGTTAAGTCTTAGAGATGGTACATAATAAAATCATTAACACACTTGAAAAAAAATTTAACTCCTCGATGACATTCATTCAAGAAATACTTATTTAGCCTCCCATATAATACCAGTTTCTGAGCCCCAGGTCATAATGGTTTTTTTTGTTCTTTAATTACATTTTTTAATTACTTTTTTTTTTCCTTATATCGTTGTAGTCCCCATAGTTCTCCCATCACCATATCACTCCAGGTCATAGTATTAAGTGACCAAGATGTATGCTCACTTCCCAGAACTTTGTGGTTAATATCAGAAAAGTTGGCCATAATCTCCCCAAAATTGCCTTTTCCCTTATCAGAGTAAGAACCTTTGGTTGGGGTTCCTTGGGACTATCCCATGTAGCAATTCTGATGTTTTTATTGACTTCAGGGAGCTTGACCTCAAGATCAAGCGTGGCCTGGAAGGGCCTAGGCCAGGGCTGCCCTTCAGCTCTCGGGCCCCCAAACCAGTGTTCCAGCTTTGTGATGTGGTAAATCCCTGCATGTGTCTGAGTGGCTTTTGGCATCCCCCTTCAGTTCAAGGCTAGAGTGTCATGTGTTGTTCAGGGAATGCAGAGGGGCTGGGGGCACCCAAGGGACTTTGGGGAGGCTGCAGTAGGAGTGACTGTGTTGGGGCTGGGGTGTGTGGCCTGTGACTCTGTCCACATCACTGGGCTGCCCAGATGACAGTGCTGTGCTCTTCTCCTCAGGGTGACTGAGCTCTCTGCTCTGCTGACCCGATCTCAGAAGCAAAGTGAAGATTATGAAAAGATGGTAAAAGCCCTGAAGGAAACCATGGAGATGCTGGTACATGGTCCTTTGTTCTAGAAAGGACTTAAGAATGGGTTTTGTGGATTCCTTGTCCTTTAGGGCTAGATAGTACAGGACCCCAGCAAATTATTACTTGGTGAAATCCCCTAAAAATAAAAAATAAAACCTGGCTAAATCTGAAAATTAACTATTGCCCTCACTTATTCAGCAGGTATTAACTACTATCCCGACTTTATTCCTGGGGAAACTACAATGGCACATGCATGCAGTGTGTCCTTATCAAAGTGCGACACACATTCAGGGCACTCTGGCCAAATAAGGAAGGGCATGTGTGCAGACATCCAAAAACTAGTGATATGGAAAACAACAAAGGAGGATGGCAAGGAAGAAAGTACCTAAGGAAGACATGTTGGCTGCCTTCAGCTGAAGGACTGATACTGGGGAAAAGAGAGTTAACTTGTCTTAGGTTTTCCAGGTGGGCAAAACAAAGAGTGACTAGAAGCTCCAGGGTGGTAAAGCTGGCTAACACGTAGCACTGTGAAGTGATGAACGGCTTCTCACTTGTGAAGGAGTAAGGTGTCCTTGGCTTAACACCTACCAGGGGGGTTACCAAAGGGATTCTCTAAGGTTGGGCATTAAAACCTCTAATTTGGTTCCACATTCCCTTTCATCTCTAGGAAGCTGAGATGTCTGACTTTACTCAGATGGTGAACTGCTATGCATATGTGTACCACTTACCTTCTTATTCAAGCTGAGGTCAGGTGGAAGTGAACTTGTTTATGCCTTCTTGGTTCCTTTTGGCCAAGAATCTGCAAACCCAGATATCCACAGGGTTCAGATATAATATAAACAAGTGTGTGTTGTCAGAATTCTGATTTTCCTTTGCTGTCATATTTAGTGCTCAGTAGTGGTGGACACTTGATTTCTATATTTAGAAACAATGACTAGTAGAGGCTGTGGGACCCTGAGGAACATGTGTTTCACCTGAAAGAAACATCTACTGTTCAACCTCAGTAAACTAACATGTAGGAATGGGGCTGGGTATCACTCATGTTAATTTTTTGAAGAAGCAGAAGTGCAGATTTTTATAGAAAAACTCTGAACTTACATATGTTGGTTCATATTTTGTACAGGCCAAAACAAAACATAGACGTAGGTCTATGTCTTCAAACCTTTACTAAATCTAAATGATAGCACAGAAAAGAGAAAATTGAGTTTTTTAATTTAAGCCTCTAAACAAGCCTGGGGAGTAGTTGCTGATAGTTTTTCATGTTTTTAAAAGGAAGAAGTGCAAAGAAGTAGTTGTCTAAGGTTACCAAGCTCATAAGTGATAGAGCAATAACTCTATCCCAGGCTGTCTAATTCAGAGCTCTGAATCACTTAATCTGAGCCCTTAATCACCACATCACATTGTCTTCAGATTCCAGGGATGATGTTAGTAATATCCAATTGTGACCAGGGAAAAAGTAGGACTGACAGAATAAACAAAAATGACTCTGGTTAACCCAGTTTGGGGACTGGAATTTTAAATTCTCTTTTGAGACTCCGGTTCAAAGATTCTGTTTTATTCCCTATTCAGGAATCAAATCATGCAGAATTAATGGAACATGAGGCATCTCTTAGTAGGAATGCACAGGAGGAGAAGCTGTCTTTACAGCAGGTGATCAAGGATATTACCCAGGTACGGGTAAGCCTCCTGCTTGTGAGAACCAGTTTGTGCCTCCATGCCTTGTCACTTCTACCAGAACTTCCACTCTCTGTGGTGGTTGGGCTTAAGGTCTTATGGAATGAGTTCTCTTGAATGTATCTGAAAGCTGAAATCCCAAGGGTATGCATTCACGGGCTAGCACTGCCTGCAGGAACAGGCCTTCTTTCTTATTACCAGTTCTCAGGCCAGTGACTGGATTCTGATCTTCATTACCTCCATTGCTTCTTCTTTCTTCATTTATTATTGCTCAGGGAGTGATCTGCCTTTGTTGCTAGTCCTAGGTGTGCATGGCTAGAGATTACTTACTCTCAGATACCCTCCTCCTAACCCCCAGGGAGAGGCTTGAGAAGGATAGTGTCAGATGTGTCCAGGTTGTGGTATAAGTCTCCTGTATGAACTCTAAGAGGATAGTGACTCTGCTGTGCTGGCCTGCAGGTCATGGTGGAAGAAGGGGACAGTATAGCCCAAGACTCTGGGCATGAGAACTTGGAATTGGACTCCAGTGACTTCTCCCAGTTTAATTCCCAGGAGCCAGACAAGGCTCTTGATCTGGTGCGTTCAGTGCTGACTCGGAGACGCCAGGCTGTGCAGGTGAGGACCCTAGCACTTCTCTTCAGTAACAAGTGCTGAAGGTGGTGTCTAAACTGATTTGTACCAGGGGACCCGCTTAGGGCTGCCCATTTCACTATGTTGCCCAGTCAAAGAGTATTTTATTTTAAACTATCCATTTAACTATCACTGTGTCTGCCCAGTTGTCCTTGTGGGTGACAGCACATGCTCTATCCTGGTAGAATACTTTACAATATGCTTTACAATCATTAGCACCTAGAGCCCTGGGAAAATATGGTTGAGTGTTCCCCAATTCTGAGGGTTCCAGATATACTGGCCTTCCCCTTATGCCCCTGTACTAGTCACCACAGAAGCCCTCATCTCTGAGTCTCTGTCTTCTCTACTGGTCACTGTTCTCAGTTTGCCCTTTGAGGCACCAGCCCCCAGCCCTACATTCAGGATTCTGACATTCCTCCTTAGCCCCCCTGCTCATTTCTGTTGCTCTCCCTCCACAGGACCTAAGGCAGCAGCTCGCAGGCTGTCAGGAAGCCATGAGCTTCTTGCAGCAGCAGCATAACCAGTGGGAAGAAGAGGGTGAGGCCTTGCGAGAGCGGCTACAGAAGCTCACTGGGGAGAGGGACACTCTGGCAGGGCAGACTGTGGACCTCCAGGGAGAGGTGGACTCTCTCAGCAAGTGAGCAGGGGTAGTTCACCCCATCCCTCCTCTCCAGCTCAGTTCTCATCCAGCCATTGATAAATGGCCCTCCCATCATGTTTCTGATGTTTGACTTCGCTTATCCTAAGACCCAGAGCTGCTGAGGGCTGCCTTGCTTTGTGTTCTGTTTGTTTCTGCTAACTCAGTTTTGGGACTTTGTGATGATAAAGAATGGCTTCTTGCTTAAAAGGGAAGATGAAATCATTAAAAGAAACTTCTCTCCTTTGGCCTTGGGATGTCTGCTGCAGGAAAGATTTTAGTTTCAAGATCTCTGCTCACCTCTGCTCTCCTGCCAGGGAACGAGAACTCCTACAGAAGACCAGGGAAGAGCTGAAGCAGCAGCTGGAGGTGCTAGAGCAGGAGGCATGGCGACTTCGAAGGACGAATATGGAACTACAGCTTCAGGGGGACTGTGCTCAGGGGGAGAAGGAAGAGCAGCAGGAGGAGCTGCATCTGGCTGTCCGAGAAAGGGAACGCCTGTAAGTGTGACCAGTCCTCTTCCTGCTGGTCTTCCTTTTAGTCCCACATCCTCCTCTACCCAGTCCCCTCTCTTAGATGAGTAAACTGAAGCCTGGCACACAGTGGATTCATTAGCTTACTGCTCCTGAGTTTGCAGACAGATGAATACAGAGAGTTCATCCAGAGCACTCAAGGGATGAGGCACTGTGGGGGATACCGTAATAAGACCCAGGCCTTGTTCAAGGAGCTTGCAATGTAATGTGAAAACAGACAAGTAAACCACTAAATATGGATCAGATCAGATGACTTTTGAGCTAAATACAACATCAAGCTAGGTCCTCTGGGAGCACCTGCTACTCCTCTCAGCAGTGTATTTCAGCCACTCTGCCTGTTCTACTCCCCGCGCTGTGTCTGTGAATCCTCTTACTGCCTCCCACCCTGCACTTCTGACTTGTACCCCAGTTTTTGTATAAATAAATCTTTTTAAAAAATTTAACTTCTTTGACTCAATAATATGTTGATCAATATTTATATGATTCAGAAATGAAAACAATTTTTTAATGCCATATCATCTCTGGCTTTTTTTTTTTTTGTAGAAGAACTAGGGTGTAGAACAGGTGTGGAAAGTGAGAGGATTCACCAGAGACAGAGTGGGAAGCAGAACAGGCAGATCTACTGAAATACAGTGCTAAGGGGAGCAGCAGGGGACCTAGAAGAGGTCTGCTGCGCTCTGTGGGTCAGCTCTCTGGCCTGGAATGGAACTCAGGCCACAGTAGTGATAGTGCTGCAACTAAACCCTTAGGCCACCAGAGAGGCACCCCAAATTAAAACTATTTGAAAAGATACAGGCAAGTCTCATTCCCTCCTCTGTTTCATCCATCTCATTTTCTTTCTTTCTATAGATAACCATTTAAATTTGTTTGATTTCTTGTTTATTTTTCCTTCGCTACTGTATGTAATGATAAGTATATATTACTTCCTGCCCCCCAATTTTTTGCATAAAAGGTAGTACTCTATATATACTATTCTATACCTTACCTTTTTTCCTGTTTGGGGGATCTTTCCATATCAATTTTTAGAGACTTTGTCATTATTTTACATAAGATAATTATGTCCTTGCTCCCTTTGGGGTGTGGTCACTCCCTGAGACTTCCTCCAGCCCTCTTTCCTTACCATCTTAGTCAAGAGACGGTGGCAGGCCTGGAAGCCAAGCAGTCAGAATCACTGGGTGAACTGATCACTCTTCGGGAGGCCCTGGAGTCAAGTCGCCTGGAGAGGGAGCTGTTGAGGCAAGAACAAACAGAAGTGACTGCAGCGCTGGCCAGGGTGCGTGGGCCACTCCTGGGGGCCAGGGGTTGTTTTCAGGAAAAGGCATGCAGCCTGCCCCATTCTTTATCCTGTAAGCCATGACTCACCATGTCTTTTGCTGGTTTCTGCCTCTAGATTCTGTCCCTCCCAATATACCCTCAATATTGGGACTAGAATGTTTTTCTGAAGTATAAACCTAGTTATGTCAGTCTCTTCCTTAAAGCCATTCAGTGACTTCTCATCTTCTTGGTATCACATTTAAGTCACTTACACTCCACCCCAAACTGTTTCTGGCCTCCTTTGGACTCCAAATCCCTATCCTCACCCTTCATATAGCTTCCTCCTGCCTCTCAGCAGCACCTGTGTTTTCAGGTGTATCATGGTCTCCCGTGACTCTAACACCAGGCAAATATTCTTCCTTTGCCTGGATTGCTTCTTTCCTCTCTCTAACTGCAAACTGTTCCTCATCTCTCAACTCTTGCACCAAGCATTTTTGGTTCTCCCAGACTGAATACCTTCTTTGAGTCCCAGGGTACTCTGTGTTTACACTATCTATGGTGTGTATTCTGTGTACTCCGCTCTCTCTCCCCAGTGAGTGAATGAATGAAGGGAAATTACTTTAGAAGGAAAGGAGAGGTCAGTGTTGCCTGATCTCTGTACACAGAAAACAGAGGTGTTGGGATGTGAGCTGTTCACCGTTGCAAGAAAACTGGAAATAGGAAACCCTGGAGCTCTCTTTGTTTTCAGGCAGAGCAGTCAGTTGTGGAGCTGTCGAGTTCGGAACACAGCCTGAAGGCCGAAGTCGCTGATCTTCGGGCTGCCGCTATCAAGCTTAGTGCCTTAAATGAGGCTTTGGCCTTAGATAAAGTTGAGCTAAACCAGCAGCTTCTCCAGGTGAGCAAAGATCTCTCCAGTTCACTGAGTAGGACTAAACCCTGACTGAAGGCAAATCAGGAACAAAAGCTAGACGACCATGACAGGGAAGTCTTTAAAAGACAGATTAGCTCCCTAATGTAGTCCTGAAATGAGCAAAAGGAACATTTGTAGTGCAGAGGAAAGCAAAAACTATAAGGACTGGGCCTTGCTATTCAAAGTAGTCCCCACACCTAGGACAGAACCACTCTACGGCTTTAGGGTAAAATCACCAGGGCTAGGAAGGAAGCCCATATCCTTTGCAGGGAAGATTAGGTTTTTAATCCTGTCATGTGAGACAGTAGCAACCACCAGCAAAAGATCTTCTGGAGACTAAGTCTTAAAGAATCTTCTCCATAGGTTGTAAATTTAAAGTTTTTCCCCTTGTTCTATGTTCCATTATCTTGAGTGCTAGATTTTGCCCTTTTTTTCCTTTTATCTCTATCCCAGCATGACCTACCTAGTATATAGGCAACAGTAAGCATTCTTGTGTTCATATTTGGAGAACAAATTCAAGTCTTGTTCGGATTTCTGTCTCGGCACTTGATCTCAAAACTGTAACTCTCTGTCTTTGATGCCCTTCCCTTTTTGACCAGTAGTTAGAACAGCAGAATCAGTCTGTTTGCAGCAGAATGGAGGCAGCAGAACAGGCGAGAAATACCCTGCAGGCAGGTCTGGCTGAAACAGAGAGGGGTAGAGAAGCTCTGTGGGAGAGGAATACTCACCTGGAGACTCAGCTGCAGAAGGTGGAGGAGACCAGGACTGAGCTACAGGCAGATCTCAAGAGCAGCCAAGAAGAGAAGGAAAAAATGCAGGAGAAACTAAGTGAGGTAAGAAGATAAAACTCTGTAAAAATTAAAAACCTTCACCAGGTTTTATGAGGTCTTAAAAATAATGAATTTTAAATTAAAAAAAAAAAAGACACACGGAAATAATTTAGAAAGTGAAAAAGTCTTACTTCCTGGAAATTATCAGTATTATTAGTTTGGGGTTTTGAGTCCCAGTTTTTAAAGTGAATCTCTATAGGAATGTATCACTAAGTCTCAATTTTTCCATACTCCCCAATTTCTCCAATCCCTCCCTTGTATGTGTATGTTTTCTTAGTAATTCTTGCTTATTTTTACCCCCCACACTTTGTACTATTACTATCTGTTTACATGTTTCCACCATTAGTTGTTTTCATTTCTCCAGCTTTTAAGACAGTGTCTAACACAAGGCATGTTCTAAACTAGTGATGTAAGCCAAAGATCACCTTTCCCCCACCACACACTTCTCATTGCCATAATAGTTCTGTATCATCTCCCTTCTCAGAGTCCCTTCTCAAGGCACCCATCACTTTCTTCCTCGTATGATGTAAGACTAAAAGCTCCTTAAGACTGGTCTCTTGCAGCCCCCAGCACAGGACCTTGCTCATCGGAGAGATGCTTCCCCTCTAGGGGGGCCCGAGGGGGCTCATCAGGGAAACAGAAATGCCACTTGGTGTGAATGAGCCATGCTCAGGGCACACTTCTGAAGAAGCAAGGGCCCTCGCTGGTAGTAGCATCCCTGGAGCGCCCTGCTCTGCTCTGTCCTCCCCTAAGGCACGTCATCAGCAGGAGGCAGCGGCAGCTGAGCTGGAGCAGCTGCATCAGGAGGCAAAGCGACAGGAAGAGGCGAGTGCCCATGCAGTCCAGGAGAAGGAGGCGCTAGTCCGGGAGAAGGCAGCCCTAGAGGTGCGGCTGCAGGCTGTGGAGCGGGACCGACAGGCCCTCTTGGAACAACTGCTGGGGCTCAGGTAGGGCTCAGACTCACTCCTGCTGAGGGCAGAGAGAGCTTTGCAAGGCAAGGGGTAGTCAAGCTGAGTTCCCTGTCCTCGGTGTATAGGTTCTCAATAAGTTAAGAATTTGTGATTTCCCCCATAGCTTCTCCAGGCAACCAGTGCTTAGAACGTAACTCATCTTAAGGAAATGTAAGGGGCTTGATGAGTAAGAACTCTTTCTGATTCCTAAATCTGACAGCTCAGCCAAGGAACAACTAGAGAGCAGTCTCTTTGAAGCCCAACAACAGAATTCTCTGCTAGAGGTCACCAAGGGGCAGCTCGAGGTGCAAATTCAAACTGTAACTCAAGCCAAGGAAGTCATCCAAGGTAAGAACCCCAGTAAGATGGGGCACAATGTTTCATGGGGACACTGAAAGCCAGGAAGACTGGGGAGCTGCTAGAGGGCATTCTTTAGTCAGGCCCAGGGTCTCTAAGATGGGAGATGCGCATGAGACCTGGGGAGAAGGGGGCAAGGAGTAGGGCTGAGGCTCAGATCCAGATCCTATCCTGGACATCACAGGGGAAGTGAGGTGCCTGAGGCTGGAACTGGACACTGAACGGAGCCGGGCAGAACAGGAACGGGATACGGCTGCCAGAGAGTTGGCCCGGGCTGAGCAAGAGGTGCAGACTGCCCTGCAGCAGCAGCAGTCAGCCCACGAGGAAGAGGTGAACCAGCTCCAGCAGAGATGGGTAGGTGCTGGATGTGATTGGGGGTGGGACCTAGTTACTGGGAAATTCTTCCAAATCTGTTACCTGAAACAAGTGGCTTTAGATCTGCTTGAATCTCACCAACATCACAACCTCCAGACACATCACAGGTCACTTATGACCAGTGCGTGGAATATTCTGACCATTGTTTTAACCAGCAATGTTAGATTATTACTCCCTGGACATCACAGATTTAGCCCTTCTGATTGCCGTAATACAGTTCTAACTCATACTGAGCAAACAGAACTTTTTTTTAACACTCACTGCTATTAAAATTCATCTTTTCCTGGCTGGGGAGGGAACTCATCCTACAGTGGCTACCAGTAGCCTCAGAATGCTGAGACTTAACCCCTTGTGCCACCAGGGAGTGCTCACCTTTTCCATATTTTTACAGTCACTTTTTGAAGCCAAGTGTAAGATTTGATATTCAGAGCTATTATATTACTATAGTATTATAGGCTGCTACTTGTAGACCTCTTGACAGTCCAGTAGCTGAAATGTGATTTAGTCAGGCTAAGTTATATGAGCCTGACTAAGGATACAGTGGTGAGCAGACTAGTTGTAGTTCTTGTTGCAGTGCTTAAAATATGGTGGGGAAGGTGGGGTATTAAATAAGTGAATATGTAAATGACTATAAAAGTTCCAAGGAGAAAAAGAACTGGGTGATATAAGGAAGAATAACAAGGGGTCCCATTTCAGTTGTGTGGTTTGGGAAGGTCTGTCCCAGGAAGTGCTGGTTAGGCTGTGGGGGGCACGGAAGTGTGTTCCAGGGAGAAGAAAAGCCATGAAAGTGTGTGGTGTGCTCAAGCATAGCCTGAATGTACTAAGTAAGAGGGAAAGTGGCACACAGTGACACTGAGGTCATTGCGAGATGGGGGTGAAACACTAGAGGCCATTCAGTGAATGCATAACCACAAACTTGTAAAGATTGTGAAGGGAAGGGACAGGAAACTACTGATGTGGTGATGATGATAGCTCTTATATACTGAATGTTTTATTTGTGCTAAGAACTGCTAAACATGTCATACATAACTTATCTCCATCCTCAAAGCAACCTTAGGAAGACACTCATCATTCCCATTATTATAAATACGGAAATGGGCCCTCCCTGGTGGCAAAATGGATTAAAGCACAGTGCCATGAAGCTCTCCACAACCACTTCACTGCGAGTTCCATCCCCAGCCAGGGAGTTGACCCATATGGTGCAGGAGACCCCTCCTGTCTCACTCCTGCTCCCCTCAGCATTGGGTTCCAGTTGATCCGCCTGTTCTGCTACCCACTCTGTCTCTGGTGAACCCTCTCATTGCTCCTGAACCTCTGGTCTGCACCCCAGTTCTGTGTGCACATATAAATAAATCTTTAAAAAAAATAAATATGGAAATGTTTAGAAATTGTCTGTGTGGGATTATAGCTGGAACCCAGGCAGCCTATCTCCAGAACCGTTGCTGTCTTTCAAGCACCTAATCTGGGAATCATAGAAGACTCTGGTCACAAGCAGACTTTTGGGGGGACCACGCTGCCCCTCTCTAGTATTCTTGTTAATATAGGAGACATTCTAGCTGGGCCCACTTGGCTTTTTGGAACACTTAACTCTGCCCCTCCAAGTAGGGGTGAGTGGATGCTTCATTGTTCAACCATCAACCATGATGTGGTTGCTTTGAGATAACATATTTGTAGTTTATATTAGGAACAGTTTTTCTTTAGAATGTGCTTTCATAAGAATTGCATTATTTGATTTTTTAAATAAAATTCACTTAATTCTTATGAAGTTGATTGAAATAGTTAAGGCAAGGATTGTTAGCTTTCCTTTAGAGAGATACGAAGGTCACACAGCTACTGAACAGTGAGCTTCTTATTTTAAACCAGTTCTTCTCTGTTTTCTTCTCACCCACTCAGTTCTAATAGTGTTTTCCTTCATGTGACTAGGAGAAAGAGCGCTCCTGGCACAAGCAGGAACTGGATAAGGCTCTGGAGGAGCTGGAGAGGGAGAAAATGGAGCTGGAAATGAAACTGAGGGAGCAGCAGGAAGAAATTGAGGCCATCCGGAAGCAGAGGGAAGAAGAACGGGCCGAGGCCGAGGGTGCCCTTTGCCAGGTGGGAAGCAGAGAGAACAAGAACTGGTGTATCCTACCTCAGACACCTCCTTTTCCACTCCCAAGGGTGGTGCTGCAGGCGACTTCGGCTCCCCACCTTTCAACCACTGAACAAGGTGGCCCGCACCACTAGCTGCAGGGCTGCAGTATGTCCCACTTCCTGAGGGAGGGCCAACATTTACCACATCCTGTCAGCGTGCAAGCCAGTGGCAATCTACATACTTCCTGGTTCTGAATCAGTGGGTCCAGACCTGCCTTTGCCCTCAGCCCCCACTGTTTGCCAAATGAGACCTAGTACATCTGGAATGTGCTTGTAGCTTAGTGGGTGAGCATGGTAACCCCTGATCCAACAAGCCTTTGTGCCCCTGCCCCTGCACAGATGCAACTTGAAACAGAGAAGGAGAGAGTATCACTCCTGGAGACACTGCTGCGGACCCAGAAGGAGCTAGCAGATGCCGGCCAACAACTGGAACAGCTGAGGCAGGACATGAAGGTTCAGAAGTTAAAGGAGCAGGTATGGAGTGTGGACCTAGGCAGGGAAAGGGGGACTCAGCTTACTCATTCAACATGGGCCAGTCCTCTGGGACTTCTTTGCACCTGGCCCCATGCTAGGTGCTGATACATGACAACATGAAGGGGTGGCACAACAGTAACCCCAGCAGACATAGTCCTGCCCTCAAGGAATTTACATTCTACTGGCAGAGACAGTCAAGAGCAAGCAAACACTGAATAAATGAGAGAATTACCAGTTGTAATAAGCACTGTAAAGGAAATTTAAAGGGTGCTATAATTGAGAGTTATTCAAAGTCCACCTTAGACAAGGTGGTCAAGGAGAAACTCAATGAGTAAGAAATATTTGAGCTGAGACATAAAGGTTAAAAAGAGCCAGCCCCAGTGGGAATGCAAACTAGTACAACCACTATGGAAAACTGTTCGGAGGTTCCTCAAACTGCTTAACATGGAGCTTCCATACAACCCAGCAAACCCACTCCTAGGTATCTATCTACCCAAAAGACACAAAAACACTGATTCAAAAAGATACCTGCACCCCCATGTTTACTGCTGCTTTATTTACAATTGGAAAGACATGGAAGCAGCCCAAATCTCTAAAAGTAGATGATTGGATTAAAAATATGTGGTATATATATACACAATGGAATATTACTCGACGACCAAAAAAAATAAACACATGTTTTTTTCAGCAACATGGGTGGAGCTGGAAAAGATCATGCTTAGTGAGATAAGCCAGAAAGAAAAAGAAAAATACTAGATGGTTTCGCTCATAGCAGGAGTATAATGGACCAGGCAAGAAAATAATAATTACGAACAGCTATATACAGAGACATTTTATGGGGGTGGAGTGGGGAATGGGATCAAAAACAGTGGGGGGAGGGAAGTGTGCTGGACTATGGTGATGGCACATTGGTGACTTGGTGATGGGAAACCCATGGGGATTATAGTTGAGATGAAAAAAAATGTACAAAATGATGTAAAGATAAACTATTATTTTTTTTTAAAAGGCAGAACATTAAATCTAAAAGAGGAAGTACTAAAAATTTTAAATCTGATTACTTGCCTCAAGAAACTGAAACAAAAAGCAGTAAGATAAACCAAAAATAAAATACTAGAATTAAGAAAAAATAAAGAGCCAGCCCCATGGGACAGTAGGGATGAGCTCTGAAACCATCATGCTAGGTGAAAGTGTGGGTTCCCAGTTACAGGAAATTTCTAGCATAGGTGACTTTAGGACAGAAAGGAGATGAGTAGGGAGTAGGTGAGAGATGGGGAGTGATACAGGATGGAGCCTAGAAAGGATCCAGGGTTTGATTAGGGGTGATTAAAATGTTTTAACATTGATCAAAGTGATGGCTGCATGGCTCTGAATATTCTAATTGTACACTTTAAATGGATGAATTATATGGCATGTGATCTACATCTCAGTAAAGCTATTTTGAAGAAAAAAAAGAAGTCAGCCAGAGAAAAAAATCCAGGCAGAGGATAGTACTGTCAAAAATGTGCTGATATAGAAAAGGTTTTGGGGAGCTCAGAGACAGAAAGGAGGCAGCATGGCTCCAGTGTGATAAATCCAGGTGGCTCTTTTTCAGTGACCATAGGAACTTGGATTTTGTGAACCATGGAAAACTGTTGGATATTTTTCTTCTTTTTATATTTCCTTTATAAAAATTTTTTTAGTTTGGGGATTACATTTTGATTCTTCCATATGTGCACATCTTCAACTCACCCTTGGATGGTATTTTAAAAAGCAAAGTGGAACATAATTTACTATATGTGTATTTCGAAAAAACTAGCTATTGAGTGTGCGTGTGTGTGCGTGCGTGCGTGCGTGTGTGTGTGTGTGTGTGTGTGTGTGTGTGTGTGGCCTGATCAAGAAAGCCTCGGTGCAACAGGGCATTTTGAGAGGAAGGAGAGGGAGTGGGTGAGTTGAAATGCAAGGCATCATGGAAAAAACAGGGACTGCTGGGTCCTGCCTCAGCTTTTGGGTCCTGCCTCAGCTTTTGCCAACCCAACTAAAACAGTATTTGTGCAACATAGGTACCTACAGCAGAGTTCAAGACTAAGGCCCCAGCAGGAGCTTTCCTCTACTTGTTGCTGTCTTCTCCTTTGCAGGAGACCACAGGGACGCTGCAGACCCAGCTCCGGGATGCTCAGCGGGAGCTGGAGCAGACAGCCCAGCAGCACCGCCACCACCTTGCCACCCTCCAAAAAGAAGGCAGCAGCCTGCTGCAGGATAAGCTAGACCTGCAAAAACAGGTCCTTTCTTCTCTTTTCCAGCCCCACTGCCATTTTTCAGCTAGCCCTCCCAAGCCCTTCCACAGGTCAAGGGAAGCCCTGGCATGAGCTTGGGAGAGGCAGATTGAAGGATGCTCAAAGTCGAGCATGAGCCTCTCAGAGGCCTGGGATAGTGGTCTCTGTGCAGTGACCACAAAATTATACTTTCTGCAGCAGCCCCAGTATCAATTGTTCTTCCCCTTCTCTCCCTCAAGTCAATATTTTCATATACCGGGTTGCTTTTCCTATTTTGACTGCTTTTCCTTCTCAGAATCTTTTAACAGATGATGTTCAGATTGTATCTTTAAAATTTACAGCTAGTATACACTTACTCATCATTTTGCTTTTGGGTGCTGTTATATTCAGCCAAGATTTCAGTTATGCCTGCCTTTTTTCAGCATATGTGAGGCTAGAGAGACAGGTGACTAGGCTGAATGGTATTGGGGCAAGGGGAAATTAAGAATAGTATCTGAGGGTTGTTGGGACCTCCAAAGCACTGGAAATGGACCCGTGACTTGTTGGAAACCTTGAAAGCCCCAGATGAGAAACATCTTCCCCTGTCTTGGTCCTCATGCCCTTTATTTTCCAGGTGGAGGACTTGAGGTCTCAGCTGGTTTCCAAGGATGACTCCCAGAGGCTGGTGGAGCAGGAGGTTCAGGAGAAGCTGAGAGAGGCCCAAGAGTGCAGCCGAATTCAGAAGGAGCTAGAGAGAGAGAAAGCCAGGTATGCTGGGCACACCATGGAGCTGGCTTTGGCTTATCTGTCATTATCCAACATTTTTTTGCTCAGTCATGTCTTCTGGGCAGGTGAACCATGTGAATTTCCAGTGCTACAATATTTGAGGAGGGTCAGATCCTTTTGTTGATGCAAGTAGAGACAGGAAGACAAGTTAGTTAGAGCTGGTACAACTGTCCACATGAAAGATACTAAAGCTGAAGCAACGTGAAGCAGTGGAGAAGGGGACATGGAAGGGGCATAAAGGATGTTAAAGGAGTTAGAATCAATTTTACATAGTCATAAATTAGTTATAGGTAGGCTGAAGGGAGAACTGTGATGTGGTCCAAATGTCTCAGGACACTGGCTGGTGAAGTGCTAGGGAACATAGTAAGGAGTCAATGATGGGAAGGAAAGGGAGTTTCAGGGGAGACAGAACAAATTAGACATGTTGAATTGGCGGCATTATATAAATAGTTTTGGAATTTTCCCAGGAAAGAACTATGGAGTTGAAAATGAGATATCATATGCATGATATACCTAGGAGCACCCAGCGGGCACTTAATAAACGGTAGTTTTTATGGTTAAAATATAACTGACATTGCTATTTCTGTGTTAACTGTTAAGGTTATATTTAGCACAGTCAGATCAGAAAGTGGTTTTTCATTGCCTGAGAGGATAGCCTTGCCCTTTGACCCTCTCTTTTTAGCCTGACTCTGTCACTGGTGGAAAAGGAACAGAGACTCCTTATTTTACAAGAAGCTGACTCTGTTCGACAACAGGAGCTGAACTCCCTGCGCCAGGATATGCAGGAGGCCCAGGGAGGGCAGAAAGAGCTCAGTGCCCAGGTAATTCACATGTTAGTTACAAGCATCATTCCTTGAAGGGGGGAAGTGTTGGGGCAATTATTCACAGCCCTCTTATAAAAGACTTCAGCAGTCCTGGCAGGAGGGGGACTCCAGGACAAGGAAGGTGGAGGCTTGGGAACATCACCCAGAGTTGAGAATGACTCCTGTGGGGAACCTGGCAATACAGAACATGGGTCCAAAGGGATAGAGCCCACGAGACCTGGCTTTAATAGAGCCACCTCCATGTGTGCTTGGCACAACACAGTGAGGAGAACAAATACTACTGCGGTCAAGTAGGCAGCAAGAGTAGGACTTCCAGGGAGTTAGGCTGCTCTAGCAAGACCTTGGGGCAGAGAAAGGAAACAGAGGTGACAAGTAAGATGAGCATAGATTAGATAGCAGATGAGGACTCAGGTCTGGTTGTTACCTGGGTTTGACTCCAAGCTCCACCACTTTGTGGTTATGTGAGCATAAATCATCCATAAAATAAGGATGATAATTCATCAGGATAATAATTAAGGAATTTATAAAGTGTCACAAACACAGTACACAATAAATGAAAGTGATTTTACTGTGACTGATCTTATTAGCCCCAATGTCAAGGCTTTTGGGGCAGAGTTCTAGTCTTACTGTAGTTGCCAGGGGGCAGACACCAGCACTGTTACACCTGCTATGTCCTGCCTGGGCTATGTCAGGAGTCAGTAGCAGGTATCCAGGTCAGATCCAGCGGAACACTCACTTCAGAGCTCTCCCTCTGGAGAGTGGAGTCTACTGAAATTCTCCTTCCCAGGAGGGTCTCAGAAGAGAGTATCCACACTCTACCCAAAGTGACTACACTTCTCCCTGGCAGGTGGAATTACTGAAGCAGGAAGTAAAGGAAAAGGAAGCTGACTTTCTGGCTCAAGAAGCACAGCTGCTGGAGGAGCTGGAGGCATCTCGAGTAACAGAGCAGCAGCTTCGTGCTTCCTTGTGGGCCCAGGAGGCGAAGGCAGCCCAACTACAGCTGCAGCTGCGCAGCACAGAGAGTCGACTGGAGGCGCTGGCTGCGGAGCAGCAACCTGGGCACTGTGCCCAGGCCCAGCTGGCGAACCTCTACTCTGTCCTGCAGCAGGCTCTGGGGTCCATTTGTGAGAGCAGGCCTGATCTGAGAGGTGGGGGAGACTCTGCTCCCTCCCTCTGGACCCCTGGGCCAGGTGAGGCAGCCGCCTAAGCACTCAGTCCTTTTGGTCCATGACCAGGCTCAGCTCCCAGGGAAGGAGGAACAGGAAAGCAGTTTCTTAAGTAGCAGTTCATTAAGGGAAAGGCCACAGACTCTGGAATTAATTCAGTAAGAGTTTGAAACCCAACTGCCATTTGCTAGATGTGTATTGAGCAAGTCACCTCTCCTTTCAGAGCTTGATTTTCTCAACTACAAAATGAGGATGTCAAAGTATCTTTCAGGACTTTTTTAAGGTGATAAAAGAGATTACAGTTAGAGAATAGCTCACACAGTTCTGGCACTTACTGAATACCTAACAAAGAGTAGGTAACATCATCCAGCCCCCACAAGCACTAGTGCCTGGCACATAGGTACACCAAGGACACATGATGAATGAACTGCTTAGAAGGTGTGCTTTAAGGACAGGAGAGATCAGTGGGAAGGCCATGGCTGTGTCTGGGGACTTTGGCAGCCAGCTCAGGGGGTTTGCCTCATCTTTTCAGATCAGAATGGAACTAGGATCCTGTTCAAGCGGGGGCCCCTCCTGACTGCATTCTCTGTTGAGGCCGTGGCCTCTGCCCTCCACAAACTTCATCAAGACCTATGGAAGACTCAGCAAGCCCGGGTATGTCTTTTCTGTTCACTTTCCTTGATCTCTCCATCTCCCCTCTTCATCTCTTCAAACTCATGCAGCAGTTTGACCTGTTTTATTCCTAAAGTCAGGTAGGGCTTAGTTCCACCTCTATCACTTACAACCTGGCAATCAGAAGAAAGCATTTGTCTTTCTGGGTTTTGGTCGTGCTAGTAAAGCAGGGCACACCTTGCAGGTTGTTGTGAGGACTCAATAACAAAGGGCTTAGTGAGCCCTATAAACCTTGTGCAAATGTCTTTTGCACCTTTTTCCTATGAGCCATGAATTATTCTTGATGCCATGTCAGCCAAAAAAATCCCAACAAGTTGGAGACCTCTAAAATTTGAGGTTGTCATTTATAGGAACATTCATAGCCTGAGACTGAATTAAATGTCCCAGAAGTTCCACCATCCAGTGAACCTTTTAATCAATAAAAATTGAATGCCATCTATATGCCAGCCACCCCGACCTGGAGATAAAAAAAGAAGAAATAGGGCCTCCCTGGTGATGCACGGGGTTAAGTCTGCAGCCACTGCAGCCAAGTTCCATTCCTGGCCAGGGAGGTGACCAACGTGGTGCAGCAGACCTCTCCTGTCCCACCCACTGTTCACCTCAGCAGTGCATTGCAGTCAATCCACCTGTTCTGCTCCCCACTCTCTCTGGTGAGGCTTCTTACCACCTCCCTAAACTCAGCACCTCTGGCCTACATGCCAGCTCTTGTATGCATAAATAAATAAAATAAGTCTTTAAAAAATTTTTTTAAAAGAAGACTGTCTAAAGAAAGCTTGTGACATGACTGAAGAATCAAACATAGAGGAGAATTGATAAAAGTCACTGGATCAATGACAGGTGCAAATGATACATCTAGGAATTAGGAGAAAGCAATAGCTCATTCTGATTTGGGGAATGTCAGAGGAAAGGAAAAGGTGACCTGAGCTAAGCTTTGAAGGGTGAGTTTGGGGAAGGAGGAGGTGACGTCTCCCTAAGATTTTAGCAGGACTTCTACCTCAAAAGATAAGCTGGGTCAGAAAGACATTCTGGACCCTAGTCATTTGGAACAAGGCCTGTCATCACTTCAAGGAGTTCAGAGGTAATAACCCAGCAATCAGGGAATGGGTCCATGATGGCAAATGCCTCCACAGAGGCTGAGAGGGAGGAGAGGAATTGAGCCCTTGCTGGGATAGCGTTGTTGTAGATGAGGAACTTGGTTTGCCCCTCCCTTTCTTTCCCAGGATGACTTGAGAGATCAGGCCCGGAAGCTAGAACAACATCTCATTGACACAGAAGCCGAAAAGAGCCAGGTTCACACAGAGTTACAGGATCTGCAGAGACAACTGTCCCAGAGCCAGGAAGGTAAGAGGCCAAGACAGGAGATTGGAGGGAAGAAAGGACAAGCAGGAAGCCTAGAAGAGGCAGAAGCAACACTCCCTACTATGAGAAGCTATCTAGACGCATCACCCAAAGGGAGGATGGCCTCCTTGAACCATTTTCCTGAATGGTTTGGCCTTTGAGGGTCATCTGGGAAAAAGAGATTAGGAGGAACATATTTGAACAAGTTGCTGCTAGGTTTCCATTCTCTGTCTATAGGAAATTAAAAAGCTGGGAACCCAGGCCAGAACTATGAAAACATAAAAATCTGTATCTTTTGACATTTATCCATGTTACTTATTTTTATCATCTCCAACTGTGTTCTCAAAATGATTAATCTGTTGGCAGAAGGATTAGGTGCTGTTTGGAAGATAGGGAGAAGGGGGAGCCTAGGGAGAATATATCCATGCCAGGAGCTGAAAAGGGTGAGACTGCTTGGAAAGGAAGGGAGAGGGGAGACTCTTGAGGCCAAGGATCTACTGTAGAAGAGAAGAGGAGAGTGGGTCTGGGTCTTAAAAACATCCCAGAGGGCTCCCTGGAAGCCACACACAGAGACCTGGGGTGTCGTCCATTGTGCAGAAATGGGAGGCAGCCCGCATAGCAATGTTGGTCTGAAGGAACCTCTGCAAAGTTGTAGAATTTGGACCGAAAAGGACCACTAATGTCATGTAGTTCAGCCCTATCTAGCCTCCAGGGTGGAGAATCTCTGTGTGATCAGGACAAAGGATTGTGGGATGCTGATCAGTCAGCCCTGGAGCTGGGCAGCAGACACAGACAAGGGTGCCGCAGGGAGCCTAGACAAACAGGAGCTGCTGGCAGATGGGCAATGTCTGTGGAGCTCAATATAATTCTCTCCCTGTTGGCCATATTCCCTCTTGGTTTTGTTCCCCATCTTTCATCTGCCCATCCCCCACCCCCACCCCCAACCATGTATCTTGCTTCACTGCCTCTCCTCTTCCCCAAGAGAAATCCAAATGTGAAAGAAAACAGAGCTCCCTGGAATCGGAGCTGATGGAACTGCGTGAAACTGTGGCATCCTTACAGACTCGCTTAAGGCAAGCAGAACTGCAGGGAATAGAAGTGCAGGTAAGGTGGCACTGGTTGGAGTGGGGGGATGCTTTCAGGAATAGTTCCTCAGGAAAGCCAGAGCTCTGACTCCCAGGCCCACCTGTAGTCATACCCCATCCATATGTCACATGCTGTGTCCAATTTCTCTCAGCAAGTGTTCCAGATCCCCTGTTTTTCCCCACAGTCTTGAAGGCCATTATTATTATTTTTAAAGATTTATTTATTTATGTATGTAAAGGCTGAGGTGGACCCTCACCGCTGGTGCAACAGGCTAAAGTACAGCACTATGATGCTAGCAGCAGCCACTTCAGCACAAATTTGATCTCCTGCCAGGGAGGTGACCCACTTGGCGTCGCAGAGCTCTCCTGTCTCACCCACTGCTCCCCTCAGCAGTGCACTTTGTCAAATCTGCCTATTGTGCTCCGCACTCTGTCTCTGGTGAATCCTCTTGCTGCCCCTGCACTTCTGGCCTGTACGCATAAATAAATAAATCTTTTAAAAAAAAAAAAAAAGAGCTGGGTGTATGTCAGAGCAGAGATGCAGGGAGTGAGGACTTACCAGAATAAGCAGTGACTGAAATACACTGCTGAGGGGAGCAGCAGGCGAGACAGGAGAGGTCTGCTGCGCCATGCGTGTCACTCCCTGGCTGGGGATGGAATTCATGCTGCAGTGGCTGCAAATAGCTTTGTAGTACTTGTGCCACCAGGGAGGCCCTAAGCCATCATTAAGGCCCCAGTGAATCTTTCAATTACTTTTTCCGAGTTGAGCTTGAGAATTTTGTCCCTGAAGAACCAGAGCCTGGAATGGTATATCTGTGCCAGGCTGTCTTCTCTGAGAACAGCAGAGCTCTGGGATGTGTTAGGGATCAGCTTAAGTGGAACACACCAGTTCATTTTTCTTTTGACAATGCTGGTGCCACTGTGCTGGAATGACAGTATCAAAGAAGTGTTTCCTCTCTTTCTTTCTTTTTAATATAATAGTTTATTTTACATCATTTTGTGCCTTTTTCCATCTCAATTGTAATGGTAATGGGCTTCCCATCACCAAATCACCTGTGTGCTATCACCATAGTCCAGTGTCCTCCCCCCACTCCCTGTTTTATATCCCATTCCCACTCCACCCCGTAAAATGTCCCCGTTATATAGTTATTCATTATTATTTTTCCCCCCGGGTCCTTTATACTCCTGCTATAAGTGAAGCCATCTGATTTTTGAGGGGGCTTTGCCTCTTGTTTTCCAGAATGAGCGAGAGTTACTTCAAGCAGCCAAGGAGAACCTGACAGTCCAGGTAGAACATCTGCAAGCATCTGTTGCAGAAGCTAGGGCTCAGGCAAGTGCTGCCGGGATCTTGGAAGAAGACCTGCGGACGGCTCGCTCGGCCCTGAAACTGAAAAATGAGGAGGTGGAGAGTGAACGTGAGAGAGCCCAAGCTCTGCAAGAGCAGGGCGAGCTAAAGGTAGCCCAAGGGAAGGCTTTACAGGAGAATTTGGCCATCCTGGCCCAGACGCTATCAGAAAGAGAAGGGGAGGTGGAGACTTTGCAGGGAAAAATTCAGGAACTGGAGATGCAACGGGAAATGCAAAAATCTGCTTTGGAAGTGCTATCCCTGGACCTAAAGAAAAGGAACCAAGAGATAGATCTGCAACAAGAACAAATTCAGGAGCTGGAGAAATGTAGGTCTGTTTTAGAGCATCTGCCCATGGCTGTCCAGGAACAAGAGCAGAAGCTGTCTGCACAGAGGGAGCAGATCAAAGAGCTTGAGAAGGGTAGAGAGGCACAAAGGAACACTTTAGAGCACCAGCTTCTAGAACTTGAGAAGAACGCCCAACTGATTGAGTCTCAGCAAGGACAAATTCAGGACCTAAAGAAGCAGTTGGTTACTCTGGAATGCCTGACCGTGGAACTGGAAGAAAACCATCACAAAATGGAGTGCCAGCAAAAGGCAATTGAGGAGCTGGAGGGCCAGAGAGAAATGCAGAGAGTGGCTCTGACCCACCTTACACTGGACCTGGAGGAAAGGAGTCAGCAGTTGCAGGCACAGAACAGCCAGATCCATGAGTTGGAGAACCACAGCACCCTGCTGGCAAGTGAACTCCAGGAGAAGAAGCAGGAGGTGAAATCTCAGCGGGAACAGATTGAGGAACTGCAGCGGCAGAAAGAGCATATGACTCAGGACCTGGAGAGGCGGGACCAGGAGCTATTGCTGCAAAAGGAAAGGATTCAGGTCCTTGAAGATCAGAGGACCCTGCAAACCAAGATCCTCGAAGAGGACCTAGAACAGATCAAGCTATCCTTGAGGGACCGTGGCAGGGAGCTGGCCTCTCAGAGGCAGCGGATGCAAGAGTGGGCAGAGGAAGGGAAGGGCCAGAGTAAAATACAGCGTGGGAGCCTAGAGCACATGAAGCTGATCCTGCGTGATAAGGAGAAGGAGGTGGAATGTCAGCAGGAACATATCCAAGAACTTCAGAAGCTCAAGGACCAGCTGGAACAGCAGCTCCAGGGGCTGCACAGGAAGGTGACTGAGACCAGCCTACTCCTCACCCAGCAAGAGCAGGAGATAGTGATCCTACAACAGCACCTGCAGGAAGCTAGGGAACAGGGGGAGCTGAAAATGCAGTCACTTCAGAGTCAGCTGGAAGAGGCCCAGAGAAGCCTAGCCCAGAGGGACCAGGAGCTTGAGGCTCTGCAGCACCACCACCAACAGGCCCAGGGGCAGGACGAGAATGTGAAGGAAAAGGCAAATACACTGCAGAAAGCTCTGGAACAGGCCCATCTGACTCTGCAGGAGCGCCAAGAAGAGCTTGAGGACCACAAGGAGCATGTGCAGAGGCTTCAGGAAGAGCTAACAGTAGAGGGACAGCGGGTGCAGGCCTTGGAGGAGGTGTTGGGTGATCTCAGGGCTGAGTCTCGGGAGCAGGAGAAGGCCTTACTGGCCCTCCAGCAGAAGTGTGCAGAGCAGGCCCAAGAGCATGAAGCAGAGGCCAGGGCCCTGCAGGACAGCTGGTTGAAGGCAGAGGCAATGCTTAAGGAGCGGGACCAGGAACTGAAGGCCATGAAAGCAGATGGCCAGTCCTCCCAGCATCAGAAAGAAGCTGCCTGGAGTCAGGCTGAAGCTCTACAGGAGGCCCTCAACAAGGCTCAGGCTGCCCTGCGAGAGAAGGAGCAGCGTCTCCTTGAACAGGCAGAGCTGAGCAGCAATCTGGAGGCCAACACTGCCACCTTGCAGGCTGCCCTGGACTCCTGCCAGGCACAGGCTCAGCAGCTAGAGAAGACCCTGAGGAAGCAGGAAGGTGAGATCCAGAACCAGGATCTCCAGCACCAGGAAGCCATGCAGCAGCTCCAACAGGCCCTAGCCCACAAGGAGGAAGAGCTGAGACATCAGAAGAAACAGGGGCAGATGCTGGAGAATTCTCTAGCAAGGTACCAAGAGGATGTGATCCAAGAGAAACAGAATCTGGGACAGGAGAGGGAAGAAGAGATGAGGGGCCTTCGTGAGAACCTGAGAGAGCTGCAGCTCACCTTGGCCCAAAAGGAAGAAGAGATCCTGGAGCTGAGGGAGGCCCAACAAAGGAAGAGTATGGAGGACTCACTCCACAACCACAAAGCCTCCCCAACAGAGAAGCCGTCTACAAATTTTGATCCTTCAGGGCCCAGGCTACAGCAGGAACTACGACGACTACAGGCAGCCCTGAGGCAGACAGAGGCCAGAGAGATTGAATGGAGGGAGAAGGCCCAGGAACTGGAGCTGTCCCTGGCTCAGAGCAAGACCAGTGTCAGCGATCTGCAGGAGGTAGCCATGTTTCTACAAACTTCTGTCCTGGAGAGGGACTCCAAGCAGCAGAGGCTGCAGGTGAGTCACTCCACTGGTAATAAGGGCCAGGGCATGGGCTTGGGTGGGCAGAGGGACTGACTGCCACCCTGGCCTTGTGCCATTTAAGGATGTGAGAAAGCTGAGACCACACACTTAAGTGGAGTCCAGGTTACAGTGCTAGTTTGAGGCAATACAAAAAGAAGACATCCATTGCCCCACACTCATAGAGCTTAGAGTGTAGTAGGCAAGCAATTAGAGTGCAGTGTCTAGTTATAATTATTGCCTAGTTGGAGATAGTGTGCTATGAGCTTACTAAAAGATGCCCAAATTTTCTTTTTCTTTTTTTTTTAAAGCTTTATTTATGCATACAGAACTGGGGTACAGGCCAGAGGTGCAGGGTTGGTGAGAAGACTCACCGGAAACAAGAGTGAGGAGCAGAACTGGCAGATCAGCAGGCGAGACAGGAGAAGTCTGCTGCACCGTGTGGCTCACCTCTGGGGCCAGGGATCAAACACTCATTGAAGTTCTGAGGCTAGCTTGCAGTGCCATGTCCTAACCCATTGTGCTGCCCACTTTTTCTATAGTTTAAGTCCTAAAAGACTTCCTGGCAATAGTGGTGTTTAAGATTAGATCTGAGGGCCCTCCCTGGTAGTACAAGTTCGATCCTCAGCCAGGGAGATAATCTACATGGCGCAGAGACTTCTCCAGTCTCCCTATTGCTCCCCTCAGCAGTGTACTTTGTCAGTTGGACTGTTTTGCTCCCCACTGTCTCTGGTGAATTCTCTCACCTCCCCTGTACCTCTGGCCTGTACCCCTGTTCTTATATGCATCAATAAATAAGTCTTTAACAAAAAGAAAAAGATTAGATCTGAAGGGACCAATAAAGAGATAACCAAAGTACAGGTCAGGAAGGAGCTTTCTTGGGGAAAAGAACAAGGAGAACACATGGGGAGCGCATTGTTCAGGCTCCATGGGCCACAGAGTGGAGAGTTAGCAAGAAAAGAGAAGAGAAGACAAGGACCCAATCATTCAGGGCTTCTAATGGTAATGACCCAGGTACTCTGTGGGAAGTGGATGAAGGGGTTGGGGAAGATCAGAAATATTGCTCAGGCTGTTGTATGGAGCTGCGGAGGCCAGCCAGGAGGTTACATAAGAAGTGCAGAGAGATATGGTGATCTGAGACGGTAAATGTGGATGGAGATGTAGGTGGACCTGAAAGGCCCATAGGACTAAGATCAACTAAGAAATAGGGAGTGTAAAGATGAGACAGGAAGAAATCAAAGACAAAAATACCCAGGTTTCTGCTCAGCGAGATGAAAAAAAAAGATGATTTAGGGGCATGGGGTGAATGGTAAGATTGGTTTGGAAACAGAGGGACATACCTATGGAACTGGTAAGGAGAAATACTCAGTGAGCAGATTGGAAAATGATCTGAAGTTAAAAGTAAGATTGAAGATAGAGACTTTGGAGTCCTCAGCAGTTAGCTATAAGTGCCCTCTTCTAGGTAAAATGTCAAATAAGAATAAGCAGACTTTAGGGTATAGCATTTGACTTCAAGACCAGGGGCCTGGCTTAGTCATCTTTGTGCCCCACATTGAGCACAGCCTGCACAGAGAGCTAGGATCACTTGGACAGTGTCTCTTGCCAAGAGGAACCCAGCCCATTCTTCCAGGAAAATTGACTCTACATCCTGGTCCTTTGACCTCCACTGATCCCCAGATAACCCTCTTCCTCATCTCAGACAACCCTGCAAGGACTTGCTTTCTGGGAACTGACAAAGTTCTACTCTAGTTAAAGGGCACTATGCAGAGAAGAATTTACATTTATGAACTCGGAAGTCAAGTTCCCAAGTTTGAAATAATAGTCGTGCAGCTTATTAGCTGTGTGACCCAGAACCTCTCTCAGATGCAGCCTTCAGCTCAGCTGAACCATTTTTTTGTTAAGCATCGCATATGCTAGATATTATTAGTCTGTCTTTCTTCCAAAATAACCCTGTAAAGTGGGAAGTGTTATCTTCAGTTCTAAGTGTTAAGTAAGTAGTCCAGAGTCACACAGCTAGTTAGAATTAGTGGTGGATCTAAGCAGTTTGACCACTAAGTTCTTCCTCTCTCCCAGATAGCCTTTACACACATGTATGCTCAGTTTCTCCTATCACTCTTCCTGGCCATTATCACTTATAAAACATAGGCTACCTAGAAAATATCTAGCACTAGGTCTTCCCACTTATCTACAAGGATTTAACAGCACTTTCCCCAGAAATTGGTCTATGCTTAATCATTTTACAATTGAGGAGACTGGGGCTTGGAGAGAACTCATGCCCTGACCAAGTCATATAGCTAGACAGGGGTGACAGTACACCCAGCATTGTATGACATCAGAGGGCCTGCCCTTTCTGCAGTGCCTCAAGGCTTCTGTGGAACAGCACTGGGAGGTCTAAAATAAGACAGTTTTCGGTTCTAGCCCTCCATTACTCATTGGATAGATCTCTGTCTTTCTGTTATCCATCTGTAAAATGAAGTTTCTGCTCTAGAAGAGCTAGGGACATCTAGGAAAAGGAAGACTAGAACCTGATGAGAAAATTAAGCTGGTATCTGAGGGCAATGGGGATGGAGTGAATCTGGATATGAGGTTGTCATTTGTGATTTTTTTTCCCACACCTTGGTGCTCCAGGATGAGTTGGAGCTCACCAGACAGACTCTGAAAAATGAGCGGCTCCACAGCCCAGGTCCGGCCAGCAGAGCAGAACGGGGACCCAGAGGAGAGGTGAGTTTACAGCTGGCAAAGGGGAGCTGAGGGCTGGTGGGAACAGACAGCCTAGGGGACAGCTCCAGGGGCCTGTCCCCTTCCCTTGGGAATTGGACCCCTAAGATCTAGACCTCCTTGATTGTGCTCTTTGCCCTCTGTTCCTCATCTGTCTAAGGAACTGCCCAGCTGAAATTCACAGACCTCTCCCACAGGTCTTAGGAGTGGAGGCTGAGGCTCATCCTGGGATAGAGGAAAAGCAGGCCTGGGGACAAAGGCTTGAACACCTACAACAAGCAGTGGCCTGGCTGGAGATTGACCGGAGCAGGTTGCAACACCACAATGCCCAGCTGCGGACCACCTTGGAGCAGGTAGGTAACTTCTGCCATTCTCAGCAACCTCCTCTGGAATCCATTGGGCATGTGTCTCCACTTTTGTGTGGCCCCCAGTGTAGGGGTTGGCACACTGCACTCAGAGGGCCAAATTTGACTTGCTGCTTGTTTCTGAAAATAAAGTTTGATGGGAGCACAGCAGTGTCCATTCATTTGTGTATTGTCTGGCTGCTTGCCCACTGCAATAGGGGACAGAAATTAAATGATCCACAAAATCTAAAATACTACAGAAAAAGCTGACTGACCTACTCCAAAGATCTGAGGGCTCCCTACTTCTCCTACCTTAGGAGTCCTTTGTACTCAGGGTTGCCTTAGCATTTGCTCTCCTTAAACTAGACCCTAAGTTTATCTTCCTGTGACTGCTGTCCCCTTGCACTTTTACATCCCTACATTGGCCTCTCCTGGAAAAGGTGACTCTGCTCCAGCCCAAGAGCAAAGCCAAGCCCTGACTTCTCACTTGCATCATGGCAGGTGGAGCGAGAGCGGAGGAAACTGAAGAGGGATTCCTTGCGTGCCTCCAAAACTGGGGTCCTGGAGGTCGGCGAAGCCACCGTGTCTTCACCCACACAGCAGGTTCATCTGTTTTCACTGTCAGCAGCCTCAGTAGAGCCCAACCTCGCCACCAGAAACAGCCTTCTGCAGTACCTATCCCAGCTACGCTCAGGGAGACAGCCACCTTAACCAGTGCAGGCTTTTGCCATTCAATACAGCTCTGTCTGTCTCTGATTTAGGAAAGATCAGTGGATCCAGGAATCAGTGGATCCAAGAAGGATCACATCAGTAGCTGGGGTTGAGTCACAATTAGTATTCTAAGGAACCAGAAAACCTTCCATGACACCTAATCTACCTGCTTTCAGACCAGTGCTTCAGGCTCACCCAAGAGGGGCTGACTGGGCTTCTGGTAAGAGTCCCTGACCACTGGCTGGCGCTAGCCAGATAACAGCTTGGTGGACCTCTTAGATTCTCCTTGTCCCTTTAATACTGAATTTACAAGATTGGGTCTATGGTATTTCATGGGACATGAGTCCCTTTTTTGAGTAAGAAGTTTGGGGGAGATCCCCCAAGTCTGCACTCTTAACTGAGACATGCCCATAATAGATAATACTGTGGCTCTGCAGGAGAGCCTGTTTCTGGTGGCTGAGCCTTTTCCAGCTTTCCATCCCTCTTCCTCTAGCAAATGCTGCCCACAAGTACCCTGTCTTACTTTCACTCTGCATCCTTAACTCACAGTCCAGACCTAGCACAAAGCAGGTGTGTGATGTGCCTCTGCAAAGGGAAAGGTGCCTCATGCTGTCCTAACCTTTTTACACATACGGTATTAAATCTCTGTGGATGTTGCCATTAGACTAGTGTGGGGGCCTCTCATCGCCCCAAGACAGTGATACCCCATACAGTTGCAGCTGAGTACAGGTACTTCTGGCCAATAGCCCTGGGATTAACCCCCAGATTGTGATGAGCTGGCTGAGGACACCTGCAAAATCCAAAAAAATGGGGGCCTTCCCTGGTAGTGCAGGGGTTAAAATCTCAGTCACTGCAACATGAGTTCAATCCCCCTCCAGGGAGCTGATTGACATGGCACAGCAGACCTGTCCTGTCTCACCCACTGCTCCCTTCAGCAGTGTATTTCAATAGATCTTCCTGTTCTGTTCCCCACTCTGTCTCTGGTATATCCTCTTACTTCCCCCTCCCTCTGCACCTCTGCCCTACACCAGTTTTTGTGTACATAAGTAAACCTTTAAAAAAAAAAAATCCCAGGGCTATTCCAACAAGAATGGTATTTGTCTTCCACAGGATGGAAGAGGAAGACAGAAGGGCTCCTCAGAGGTCAAGCACATGGGTGAACTGCAGAAAGAGGTACATATTCTAAGGCCCTTTTCTCTCCCCTGCACTTTAGGCAAGATGACTAAGTGTCTGCTATGTACCTGACCCTTTGTGCACCTCCAGCAGGAATAAGGGGAATAGTTCCCCCTCTGAGAACTTCATTGTACTTGGAAGCCAAGAAGAACCCAGTCCCAACTCAACATTCAAATGCTTAGAATGGGAGTGGGGAAAGCAGTATGTTCATGGCCCAGACCTCCAGGTTCCTACTTAGGAAGAGGAAGAAAAGGGAAGAAGGTTGAGGGGTCTGCATAATCTAATAGTAGAGACTAAAGCAAGCAGAAGCACCCTCACAGGCACCTTCACAGGCAGGACCGTTGCCAGCACCCCAGGCACCAGTGCCAGGACCCACCCCTCAGAGCACAGATCAGGCTGCCACATTCATGGAAACTGTACAAAGTAACTGCCTGCCACTTAGGGCTCACCTAAAGGGTCACCCTATCTTTCAAGACCAAAGAATAATAAGAACCATTGGATTTGATTTCTGGGTCTGTTTCAGAAATCAGTTGGCACTACTGGCAAGACATGACTATACAGTTAGTCCTAAGCTGCTATTTTGAATGCCGTTACACACAAACTAAGCAACCTCTGAGAGAGGGCTCAGTCTAGGGTCAGGCAAGGGAGCTCCTCACTGTCGATCTACAGCACCATCCTAAATATAGTACTTCGGAAACCTCTTGTCTTACTCTAGACCCAGCCCTACCCTGAGATCTAGTAACTTTACTTCCTGGAGTCTGAGTCTACTCCTCTGAGAAATGGAAAAGTTAACCAGTGATTGTCAATCCTCGCTACACAAACTTACATCCCGGGGAACTTTGAAAAAAAAACAAAACACTGATACCAGGCCTTACCTCAGTCAGAATACTTCCTAAAAGCTTCTAAAGGGACACAGTAGAATTTTGTCCAGTGACTAAAGTACTGTGCATTTTGATCAGCACCGTGGCTAGACATGACTATGTATATTATCAAACTTGTCAGAATGTACACTTATAAGCTGGTGAATAGTTTGTGTGTGTGTGTGTGTGTGTGTGTGTGTGTGTGTGTGTGTTTTAAGCTGCCTATATGAGTCTCCTGTGCAACCAGGGTTGACAATCACTGAATTCTCCATGACTCCCAAGGGCCCTTCCACAAACACTGTAAACCTAGTCCTGAGATTGACTCAAATGCTGGTCCAACAAGAGCCACAGCAGAGCAGGAAGAGCAGGGCTGCTTCAAGGCCCGCAATTGTTTTCTCCTCTCGTTTTCCCACCCACCAGGTGGCCCTGCTGCGAGCCCAGCTGGCTTTGGAGCGGAAGCAGAAGCAGGACTACATAGCTCGCTCAGTACAGACCAGCCGAGAACTAGCAGGCCTCCACCACAGTCTCTCCCACTCACTTCTTGCTGTGGCTCAAACCCCTGAGGCCACTGTCCTGGAGGCTGAGACCCGAAAACTGGATGAGTCTCTTACTCAAAGTCTGACATCCCCAGGACCCATCCTGCTGTGCCCCAGCCCCAGCACTGCCCAGGCCACCTCCAGGTAGCAGCCACAGCCAGGATTCAAGCCAGCCTGGGAGCAGACAGATAACTATACAGTGGGTCATAGTCCCTCTACAAAGCTGCAGGTTTGCAAAAAGAGAAACTACTTGCCTGTTACCCTAAAGAGGAACGCCTTGCCCTGGCCCGGGGCATCTAGTACCTATTATCTGAATTTATCATCTCAACTTTACACCCACCCTTTCTCCTTCCCCTTCAAGAATAAACCATGAATCTTTGTATTTTTTTCTGTGCTGCCATCTCCACTTATGTAGCTGGGCACAACAAGGGCATCTACTAAGGAAGAGCTTACTAAAGATTCCTGTCAGCTGGCATGCATTTGTCTGCCTACAATCTGGTAGAGAAGGAGCATAGAAGACCCAAGACAAAGCCCTTGTCCAAGGGAGCTTGAGCCCAGTTGACAACAGGTGAACACGCATTGATAAGTCAGTCTGTGTTGACTAGAAGCTGCAGATTGCACAGACTGAGCAAGGAAGGCATGAGCTGGCCTTGAAGTATAGAGAGGTGTCGAGAGGGATTCCTAAGCATACTGCTGAGACCAGTCTCCCTGTGGCAGAGTACACTGGAGCTAAGGTTTCATGGGAAGAGAGGTTTGAATTCATGGATGATGAATTCATATGTTCTTGTCTTAAAACATGTTTTGGGACTTCAGAAACAGCAATGGCCTTTGGCTAGTCAGCCTCTGGAGTTCAAAAGCTGTCTGGCCTCATTTCCCTTCTGCTCAGGGTAAATGCCCTTCACGTATCCCTGTTGGGCATATCAGCTGGTTACTGGTTCCCTGTAGTCTGTGTTAAGCCAGTAGAGGATGGACTGTGGCAGAACCTCTTGCCTGTGGACTGGCCCTGGTGCAGGCAATCAACTAAACCTACTTCTAATACCTACTATTGGCAACCTCCTCAAAGCCTAAAAAAACACCAGTTCTTTAAAGAAGCAGGGCATGACCCCCCTCTGGCCCTCCAACCATAATGTGGAATTTTCTCTCCCCTAAACCTGGGAGTGGAGTTGAGAATGTGGGAGTGTGAGAGCAGCATCTTGATGACCCCAAACTACTTTCTCAGGCTCCATGGATTCCCACTACCCCCCAGCACATAACAAAGGGGGCTATTCACAACTGCTCCATAGCTGGAACTTTGGTCCAAAACTCAGGCTACAGCAGTTGCTTAATAAAATGTTTATTTTTGTAAGAGGCAGAATCTGACTAACTGGTCCCTGCCTCCAGTCAGATCCCTGGGGCTCAGCAGCCTTACCTGGCTTCTTCTATGCTAGTTCTCTGGAACAGATAAAGACTTGCTCCTTAATGTTTTTGGTCTTCTAATGTTGGTTCTCTAGCTTGGAGGCTGGCAGAGAGACCCTGGTTTGTTCCTTGGAGTTTTTCTCTGTGCCATTATCTATAGGTCATGAGCCAAGGCCATAAGCCCTATGTATTCTGGGAGAGAGGAGGTGAGTTTCCAGTAAATAAGTGTTTTAGAAGCTGCCAAACAAGGTCTTAATTATTAAACTGCTCTATTTGTTCTTCCTCCCCATTCAAACCTCAGGTTTTCCCTCCACTCTAGACCTCAAAGTAGGATCTCCTCCCACTAGATATTCAAGTCAGGCTTGGGCTTCATGTCAAGTAGAGACAGATCTTCCTCTCACAGTAGCTTGTGAGTATTGTTCTGTTCTAACTTTCTAAAGTATAATATCCACCAATAATAAGATCAACTATATGGAGGGTTCTACCTGTGATGGTGCTATTTGCTCTTCTCATCCACTTTTAACTGGCATGGGGAAGCATGAAGGAAAGAATATAGAGCCTCCCAGCAGTACCCAACCTTGCAAAGGGCATCAAGGCAGAGCTTCCTTTCCTTCATATTAACATGCAGCAGGGCATAACAAGAACAGTGAGTCCAGAGGGCAGGAAATGCTCCTGGCCACCCTGCCAGTTCTCTAAGATATACTTGACAGTGTAATTGATCAGCAAAACCTGGGGGAAAGGTGCCAAGATCTCTCATGAAACTTTATCCCTGCTGCAATCTTCTCTCTCCTTGTCTGCTAGTACAGGTCAAGAAAACTGAGAGCCGAAAGGGGCAAGAGCTGAGTCAGAATCTGGGAGATGCTCTTGTTCCCAGGAGGGGCCTGGGTCTGGCTGGTGCAGTACCCTATTCTCTCAACAAGCCTCTGTGCTTAGCAAGTTAGAGCAGTGACCATCACATCATGACCTAATACCTGTGCTCATCTGTTTCCCCACATGGGGTGGGCCAGTAGTAACTTGAAGGCAGAAAGGCTGCCATTTCAGAGACCAAAAGCAGCCATCAAGATATAACTGATGGACCTCCTTGGTGGCACAAGGGGTTAAGTCACAGTACTATGAAGCTACCAGCAGCCACTATAGCACAAGTTCAATCCCCAGCCAGGAGCTGACACACATGGTGCAGCAGACCTCTCCTATCTCACCCGCTGCTCCTGTCAGCAGTATATTTCAGGCAATCTGCTTGTTCTGCTTCCCACTCTGTCTAATGAATCCTCTCACTCCCCAACCCCTGCACCTCTGGCCTACACCCCAGTTCTTGTATTCTTAATATGCATAAGTAAATAAAAATAAATGTTGGGGGAGGGGAACAATCAAGAATGTTTAAGGATAAGGTACCTACTGGCCATTCTGGGACCAGCAGTCTGCACCAGGAATGTGGACTGCAGACCCCATCAATGCCAACTGTGGGACATGAGGATGAGAAGTGGTAGGTACTAAACAAAAGGACCAAAATGTACCAGGCTTTTTCTTCACCAAGCACTATAGTATCCCTCACTTACAAGTGTTTGAGTAAGTTTGAGAATCCCCCAAATAGTTTCTCTAGAAAGAGCTTTTGTCATCTCATCTATATTTTTTAAGATTTATCTATTTGTATATATAAGAACTGGGATGAAGGGGCCTCCCTGTTGGTGCAGCGGTTAAAGACAGTGCTGTCAAGCTATCACCAGCCATTGTAGCACAAGTTTGATCCCCAGCCATGGAGGTGACCACACGGAGCAGCAGACCTCTCCTGTCTCATCTGCTGCTCTCTCAGCAGTGTAGCTCAATAGATCTGCCTGTTCTGTTCCCCACGCTATCTCTGGTGGATCATCTCAACCCCTGTACCTCTGGCCTGTTCTTTTAAAATTTATTTATTTATTTATTTATTTATTTATGCATAAAAGCTGATTGACTGAAATACACTGCTGAGGGGAGCAATGAGTAGGTTAGGAGAGGTCTGCTGCACCATGTGGGTCACCTCCCTGGCTGGGGATCAAGCTCATGCTACAGTGGCTGCAGACAGCTTTACAGTGCTGCTCTTTAACACCTTGCACCACCAGGGAGGGCCTTCCAATTTGAAAGATAATTCACATGCCATAAAATTCACCATTTTAGTATGAAATTCAATATTAAAATGTTGTACACCATCTGCAGAACCTAGGGGATCGAATCAGGCAGAGAAAGGAATGAAATTTGCCAGAGATTTGGAAATCAAGTGTAACCCTTCTCCCCTGATGCTGTATAAGAGAAATCAACCCAGGATTTTATTTAACATCAAAACTGGTCTCCACACAATTTTCTCTTGCCTTTACCCCTGAAACTTCACAGTCCTACAATCCCAAGATCCCTTGTATTCAGGTCCCAAAGGACTTGTGTGAACTCTGCAGACCAGGTGTACAGGCCGAACTTGCCCACATACTCTTAACAGAATTCGCTGTACAGAATTCTGTACAAAGACAGAATCACCTTGGAGCTGTTGGTCTGATTATCATTCTCCTGTAGATGGAACCACTTTCCTTGACTTTCTGATCCAAGTTCAAAGCCAGAATCCTGGTAGATGAGAGCTATATATGTATCAGCAGGCTGATTCCTGTCTTCCCACCTTCCCTCATAATCCATGAGTAAGACAGGTTGCTTCCTGGAATTGGGAGAATAGAGCTCACCTTCTCCAGGGAAGACACTCTAAACATGAGGAGGTAGACATCATAATAAGAGAACCTGAAGCCCAGAAAAGAGCATCAATGAGATGCTCCCACATTAGAGAGGATTCCCTGGGATACAAGAGGACACTCCTGGCAGAAGTGGTGTGTGAAAAGGCATGAGGCGTCTGGTGTTTAGGAAATGCCAAGAAGCCCAATGAGTCAAGGAAAGAAGAGGCAAGTTCGTTGGGGGGGGTGGGGGAGTGTTGCGGAAGGTTAGGTGAGGAAGGGGGTGGTGGTGCAGGGGCTAGATAGTGCAGACCAGGCAAAAGTTTTTAGACTCTTATGCTGAAGGCATAAGAAAGAAGTAGTCTGGGCCCTCCCTAGTGGCACAGCAGGTTAAAGCACAGCACTGAGAATCTAAAGCCACTTCCGCATGAGTTCAATTCCCGCCTGCCCCGGAGGTGACCACATGGCCCGGCAGACCTCTCCTGACCCGCCTGCTGCTCCCCTCAGCAGTGTACTTCGTCGATCTGCCTGTTCTGCTCCCCACTCTGTCTCTGGTGAACCCTCTCACCCTCCGCATCTCTGGCCTGTACCCCAGTTCTGTATGAATAAATAAATCTTTAAAAAAAAAAAAAAGAAAGAAGTAGTCTGCATATTTTTTTAATAGACATTTAAGTGGCAATTTTGAGAAAACAGAGTTGGGTTTCCAAGATACAGAAATAGGCAGGCAAGACAGAGTTTTAAATACCTAAGGAACAATAATCTTTCTTAACCTAGTTACAGGTGTGCAAGGCACAGAGTAGAGATACAAACACCAAAGATGAATACTGACCCCAGTTATCCAGCCGGTTGCTCTGGTTGTACCTGAGAAAATGAGGCTAATCATAAGAACATGGGGAAGAAGGGGAGCACATTTTACTTCCTCCCATCTACTTACCTGGTCTCTGCTATCTTCCATTCCACTAGGGAATCAGACTATCTTCCAAAACCTAAGAATTGGAAAGTAAGGGAGATTCAACAATCCCTGAAGTCTGGGGTCCCCCCTACAGAGGGCCATCCCATTCTCCCTTACCCTGCAGTGACCTCACCTCACCCCCATACTGAGAATGTCTGGGTTCCTGGACCATCACCTCCTCACTCAGAGTGTTTGAAGTCCATACCAGACCAGAAAGCTTCAGCAGCAGCAGCACCAGCTGTCTCCAGGAACCCTGACCCCTGACACCCCTGTGGTAAGTGAATCGGCCTCTGGTTTGGTTCCCAAACATCATAAGGCCCTGAACAGGGGTCTGGTTCCTCCTGGAAAGGAGAACAGAGACTAAACAACTCTGGGGACAGGTACAACCTCTTCCTCCCTGCTCTTTCTCAGCACCCACCTGAAGACACTGGTGTGTTTGTTAATATCTTTGCCAAGGTTGGAGGCCCACAGAATTTTTGAGTTTCCTACCAACGCACAAGTCCCACAGTAGAGATCAAAATGGCTCACTGAGGGACTGGGAGTTTCCTTGAACAACTTCATCCATACTCTGCCAAGCTCACTTGCTGAATTCATGTCCTAGAAATAGAAGGAAGAGATTTAGGACTGGGCTGCAGGTATTAGCTCCCAGAGGGAGAAAACAGAACTGAGTGGGCAAGACCTCTGCCCAAGGGTCAGGAGTCAAAGCTGTGAAGATGGGAGGCACAGGGATCCGGGGCCAAGAACAGGGGTTTGGGCCAGAGACTGGGTGATGGGTCAGGCCTAGGAAGAATGGGCCCAGTGTTGACCACTGACCAAGTACCAAGGCATGGAGTCAGGAGTCATAGACTCTTGCCCTCATCAGGGTCCCCATTATCTTCTCATAGCATGTATCAAACCAGTTCCATTCTCTCACTGCATGGTGGCAGAGTGAGTAGTTGAGGGTCCCAGCTGGGCACTGGCATTTCCTGAATTTGACCCAAGGACAGTTGCCACGCCATGATGGACTTACATCAATTTTTCCTGGGGTGCCAATTCAGGTTCTAGATTCAAGTAGGGGGCCATCAGCCACAAGATGATCACCCAGAGAACCCATATGACAAACATCTACCAACAGTGCTTCATATATGGCCCAGGTAACCACTACTGCTGACTGGCTTCTCTACCTGAAACTGGAAAGGATGAGAAACAGGCCACAGGCAGACCTTCAACCTCCTGTTCTGTCGGCCTCCACCATTCCCCATCCCCCACATATACCTCCTCCCAACCCCTCATCTCCTGTCTCCCTATCCACTTGCTCACCTCCAAAGAGAACTTTAGCTGGATCCAGGATAGAAGGTGCGAGGGCAGAGAGATAACATATGGTGTGTCCCATATTCTCCCTGCAGGAGGAAGAGTTGCCTGTGCCATCCAGATAGATCATAGGTCTCATCACGAAGTACACATTGTGATCTCCCTCCTTAGTCCACCTGGCAAAACCACTGCCCTATCCCATAATGTGTATGCTGCCTACACTGCATGGGAAATCCAGCAGGACAAGGATGAACCTAGCTGGTCATCGTTACCTCTACAACCCTAAGACTTAGAATCATTTAATAAATATTTATGGGGCGAATGAACAGGACTAGGAGGATACATTAAGTATCAGTAATGCTCCCTCTCCAATTGAGTGACTTCTGTGCAAGCTTCTCTTCTGTCCTCTCGACCGCGTCTCCAACAGCTTATTGGACTTCCCTTTCCATGTCTCAGAGGCCACTCACAGTCAACAAGCCTGAGACTGAAATCATGATTTTACTTTCACCAATACCTTCCCCAGACTTCCCTCTCACAAGAAGTGGTCGGTCCCACCATTCACCAATTCCTGAAGCCAAAAACCCATGTGTTAGATTTTATTTCTCCCTCTCCTATGATTTCCAAATCTATTTGCATCTTACCTCCAAACTACTTTTTCTGTCTACCACCCCCTCATTCACATTTACAGTCAATTCCACTCCTACATCAAACGATCCCTCTGCTACTTTCTTTACAGATTTTTCCCGTTTAGTCATTTTATGGAAATGGAATATACAATATATAATTTCTTGCATCTGACTTTTCTTAGCATCATGTTTTTGAAGTTTTCTATTTTAAATACATATACATCTACCTTTATAGTCTGCACTACTTAATGCCCTGAGAAATGTGTCATTAGCTGATGACACTGTGCTGTCATCACACTGTAATTCCACAAGCCTCGGTAAAACAGCTTACTATATACCTACATGCCTGTTTATATGTGGTTGTCAGAGATCACCATGATGTGATGTCACGATAGCTACTGTTGAGTGGAGTTCCTATATGAAGATATAGGACATTTTTTTGATCTATTCACCATCTGTTGAACATCTGGATTGTTTCACTTTTTGGTTATTATAAATAACACTGCTGTGGACATGTGTTTACAAATCTTTATGGGGACATGCATTTTCATATCTGTATTTTCATTCTCTAAATGAAGACGTATTTTCATTTCTTTTGGGTAACTAGAAATTTATAAAGTTAAATTTATAATTCTCGTAAAAAACTTTTTTGGCCCTCCCTGGTGGCGCCAGGGGTTAAATTGCAGCACTGTAATGCTATCCATAGCCACTGAAGCCCTGGCCCACATAGAACAGAAGCAGACCTCTCCTGGCCTGCCCACTGCTCCTCTCAGCAGTGTATTTCAGTACATCCATCTGTTCTGCTCCCCACCCTGTCTCTGATGAATCCTCTAACCTCCCCCCCAGTTCTTGTATGCATAAATAAATAAATCTTTTTAAAAAATGGAATCGTGTTCCCTCAGGACACTTTCATGTTTACTGATGCCAGGCACCCTCAATTTTATGCTAATTTCTCCACTTTGGAGCTTCCAGGCTCAAGAGAGAGTGTAAATCTAAAACCCACATTATGTGCAGACAGGCCTATGATTATAATGTCTCAGCAATGTTTTATTTCTGTTTTTGTCTTCCCATCAAAGACACCAGTGGAGAAAATATCAAACATTCTCATTTTCTTCTGTACAAGTGGATTTTTCCTAGCCTACCCTTTTCCAAGAAGTAAACTCTATCAAGATCCCTATCTTCCTACTGAGTCCTCAAGATTGATCATCTCCTCTCCCAAGATAGACATTAATATCTAATATGCAAAGAAGATACCCATCCCATCTATTTTGACAATGATAGTAAAATAAGGACAATATAGTCATAGGGAGTCAGGCAATACTGATTAAAAAATACTTTATGAAGGCCCTCCCTGGTGGTACAAGGGGTTAAGTCTCAGCAGTATGAAGCTATCAGCAGACCCTGCCCAGGGAGCTGACACACATGGGTCAGCAGAATTCTCCTGTCTCACCTGCTGCTCCCCTCAGCAGTGTGTTTCAGTCATTCTGCTGTTCTGCTCCCTACTCTGTCTCAGGTGAATCCTCTCCACCCTCCACCCCCCACCCTGTACCTTTGGCCTATGCCCTAGCTTTTTTTTTTTTAATGGATTTCTCTTTGCTAGGCTCTTTTCTTTTTAATGCATACAGAGCTGGAGTATAGGCCAGAGGTTCAGGGGCAGTGAGAAGACTGATCAGAGACAAAGTGGGGAACAGAACAGACAGACTGACAAAGTACACTGCTGAGGAGAGCAGCCAAGAGAGGTCTGCAGGACCATGGGAGTCACCTCCCCAGCAAGCCAGTGGCTGGGGAGAGCTTCACAGTACTGTGCTTTAACCCACTGTACCACCAGGAGGGCCCTGGCCTAGCTCTTTTATGAATAAGTAAATAAAATAAATATTAAACCGATATTAAATAAAACCATTTCTTCCCATCTATTCCATTCTAAGTCATTTCCTTTTAAAGTCTTCCTACACAAATATAACATCTTACCAAGTCAAAGCTCCTAATACATATTCCAATGCAGAATCATTTACATAACAGTTTTATGAACAGTATATGTTTACGTTACTATGGATAATTATATGCTTGGAAAAAAAAGAAAATCCAAGCCTGTTGATTCCTGACATACCACCATGTTATCCTCCACTCCTTATCCCATCCCCAGGCTCACCAGATCAGCTAAGAAATTTACTGCTTCTTTCAACTCCTTTATTTATAGTTTTTGGGATTCCCAGGCTAAACAGAGAACGTTTACTTTTCTCATGGGTTAGCTATATGTTCAAAGGGATATATGTTATTCAAGATGTCTTTCAAGATGTTTTATAACAGAAAGTTTTCCAGAATGAAGTCTGCATATTGCTGGAATTAAATTCTCTATAATTAATTTCCCCATTGGTCATTATTTTATGACATATGTACTTATTTAAAGGACTTTCTACAAATATTGAAAGAAGGTTCTTCCTTAGGTGGATTGCACCATGGTTTAAATAAAAAGCATTTGTCTAAAACTGTTTTCTTAGCCAAGTGCTTCTCAAATATAAGAATCACTGGAGACTCTAATAAAAACACAGAATGCTGGCCCTCCCTGGTGGCGCAGCGGGTTAAAGCACAGCACTAAGAAACTAAAGCCACTTCCGCAAGAGTTCGATCCCCGCCTGCCCCAGAGGCGACCACATGGCGAGGCAGACCTCTCCTGACCCGCCCACTGCTCCTCTCAGCAGTGTACTTCGTCCATCTGCCTGTTCTGCTCCCCGCTCTGTCTCTGGTGAATCCTCTCACCCTCCGCATCTCTGGCCTGTACCACAGTTCTGTACGAATAAATAAATAAATCTTTAAAAAAAAAAAACACAGAATGCTGAACTTCATCACCAGAGCTTCTGGTTCAGTTTTTCTGGAACTTGGATTTCTGACAAGTCCCCAGGGGTTGCCAATACTGCTGATCCAGGGACCATCTTTGAGAATCATAGCTTAACATACACTATCAGTAAAGTATTTTACAGAGAAATGCCGATTCCTTTATTAAACTAGATCATGTTCTAATTATAATTTTGCTTTCTAAACAGGGCTTAAAATGTTTTCCTTCCACAACCTTCAATCGCTTCCAAACTGATATCTCTGCTTTTATTCTACTCATTGCTCTTCTGTTCTTTACCCAGCAATTAATTTCTTGTTTGAACCCTTAAAATGGAATTCCAGGGCCCTCCCTGGTGGTGCAGCTGGTTAAAGCACTGCACTAAGAAGCTTAAGCCACTTTCGCCTGAGTTCTATCCCCGCCTGCCCCGGGGGAGATCCACATGGCAAGGCAGACCTCTCCTGACCCACCCGCTGCTCCCCTAAGCAGTGTACTTAGTCCATCTGCCTGTTCTGTGCCCGCTCTGTCCCTGGTGAATCCTCTCACCCTCCGCATCTCTGGCCTGTACCCCAGTTCTGTATGCACAAATAAATAAATCTTTAAAAAAAAAAAAAAAGGAATTCCATTATCCTTAGAATAAAATACAAAATCATCACCCTACTCTTTGCCGTCAATGGTATGGGAAAGCAGACAGTGACATGCAAAAGAAAAAACTTAGACCACTATTTCACACTACAAATGAAAATTAATTTAAAATGTATTAAAATCCATAAATCGGCCCTCCCTGTTGGCACAACGGGTTGGGACACAGCACTGCAAGCTGGCTGCAGCTGCTTCAGTGCAACTTTGATTCCTGCCAGGGAGGTGATCCACATGGCGAATCAGACCTCTCCTGACCCGCCTGCTGCTCCCTCAGCAGTGTACTTAGTCGATCTGCCTGTTCTGCTGTTCTGTTCCCCACTCTGTCTCTGATGAAGTCTCTCGCCGCCCCTGCACCTCTGACTTGTACGCCAGTTCTGTATGAATAAATACAAAAATCTTTTTTTTAAATCCATAAATCATGTATAGTGGTACAAGCCAACAATACCTGAATAAAAAAATATAATTTTAAAAATAAAGATTGGATACAAAACCTAAAGCTATAAAATACACAGAAGAAAACATATACCCCACAACACTGACTTAAAGATGTCCTTGGGGATTCCAATTCCAGGGAATCAAAACCCAAAGTAAACAAATAGGTCTGCATCAGACTAAAAAGCTTCTGGCATGAAAAAAGTTATCATTAAAAGGAAAAGACAGAGCCCTCCCTTGTGGCACAACAGGTTTAAGAGCAGCACTATGAAGCTATCCACAAGCACTGCAGCATGAGTTCAATCCCT